AAATTTAACTTTATAAAATTAATTTATAAGTCTTTACTTATAATTATTTAAAAAACTATATATTTTTTAAATATAAAGTAATTTTTTTATATAAAATATATATAATTAAGTCGCTAAATATTAGTTAGTAAATTTTTTTATTTATAATTATTAAAGAGTAAGTTATATTATTAAAATTACTCGCTAATTTTATCTCTATAACTTTTTAAAATATAATTAATATAAAAATTTAAATTTAAGATTAATTTAATCGAATTTAAAGCTATATAAATTAGAATCTTCTTTATTACTTAAATAAATATAATTTAAAAAATAATTAAATTTATTAATTTTTATAATTCGCGAATTTTCTTTAATATATATAATTAATTTATTATTTTCTTTAGATATATATAATTAATATAATTATATACTTTTCTTATTTAGAATTATACTTTTTAAACTTTATATATAATCTTCTAATTTTTATCTTCGCGAAATCTTATTTTTATTTTACTTTAATAATTTAAATAAGCTTAAATTAATAATTATTAAATTTTTAAATTTTTTTTTAAATTTTTATAATTATCGAGTTAATAACTTTAATAAATAATAATATTATATATTAATATATTATAATTAATAAGTAAAGGCCTATAAATTAAATTTATAAAGTTAAATTTTTCTAAGTTAAATCGAATTTTAGCTCTAGCTCTAAGTTAAATCGAACTCTAATCGCTTACTATACGTTTTTAACCTATATATAAATATATATATACGAAGAGAGGCGCGCTAAGGTCTAATTAGAAAGGTGTATTAAGTCTAAAGAATTAATCCGTAATAATTACCTATAAAAAATAGAGAAAGACCATATTCTTATGGCAAGAAGTATCGAAATACCGAAAAGAAATGGAGACAACATGCTAATTAGTGGTGTGAATCCCACATTATCTCCTGCCGCAGTGAAATCTTTCGAATAATGAAATAGCTGTCAGAGTAAGATATCGGACGATTTCAATTCGTACAAATATGCATCGTCCGTTGTTTCTCCTATAGAGGCCGCAGTGATATACCATATTAATGCAGTGGGGATGACAGGCCAAGTTGCAGTGGTGTTCTCCGCTTACTGAGTGATGATTTGATGTGGAACCGTGGAGAGTATATAACGTGGGATCTTGGAGAGCTGAGCCGTGTTCTTGATGCTGAGGGCCTTCTTGCCGCTTGATTTCTCCGCAGTGTTCTCCGTATTCGCCTGCTGTAGTGACTTCTCTTGCATTAGCTGAGTGGATTGATGTAAGATCGTAAAGAGTAGACCTAATCGTAGTCCGACTATTCGCTCCGCTTATAGTAGTCCTTAACTCAAAGACGCACTAGTCTTAAAGACGCGAAAATCTATTATTCCTTTCTAATTCTATATAGATCTTATTCTATGACTCGAATTCTAATAAATACGTCTTAATGTGTATATATTAGCTTCTATAGACTATAATTCAGCTTTCGGATGTAAGCCTTAATGGCCTTGTCGGCCTTTTCTTACTGAATTTCCTTAGCTTAAGTAGCTCGCTTTAGAGCCTTCTCCGCCTTTTCTATGGCTGTTTCTTCTATTACAGTTAGAGATTTGCGTATTTGATCTATTGATATCCATCCTCCCTTCTAGGTAACCGTCCTAGAAAGTGTCTTACGTGCCCGCTTGACTACGGCCTCTTTGTGGATGCCCTCAATGTCTCGCTCGGCAATTTGTCTCGAGTAGTCATTAGTAATAGATCCTTTCACAAACCGGGCTAATAGCTGCCGCATGTTCTTTGGAATAACAAAAGCCTGAGTAGCAAACCATTGATCGTATTTAATGACGTCTTCGGCTTTGTGGGGGGTTCTAGCAAGTACGAGAGGTATGGACTCATCTAGAGTTGTAGCGCGGGGTGCCAGATTTCTGAATTTTTTATATACCACGCGTATACTCTCAATATCGTACGTATTCTTACGCTCGGCACTAAGAGGTTTTTGCTTTCATTTATAATATTTGAAATACTATTTTATAAATCGTATAGCCTAATCTTTACCGAGTAGTTTAGAGAGATAATACGAATTTAAAGTAATTTTTAGAATATACTTAGTAGTATCTTAAATGTAATTTAGTCGAAGTAAATACTCGATATTATTTAGACGATTAATATAGTTATATAGCGACTATTCTTAAATCGTAGTAAGACATATATAGATAAATATTTGAGTACTTCTAAAAGCTTATCCTCGAAGTTATCTTTATATCTATTGCGGTTTAAGATTATAATACTCTATAGCCGCTATAGCGCTACGAAAATAACCGTTCTTATACTTATTAATAGTCTTCTAAACGAGTTTCTCTTACTTAGAATAAGATATAGATATAATATAGTAAAATAATAGTAGATTACAATATAGGGTGTTAAATCGCGAAAAAACGCGTCTTTGAGACTAGTACGTCTTTGAGTTACGAACTACTATAAGCGGAGCGAATAGTCGAACTACGATTATTATGTTACTGCTCCTAATAACTATCTTTATAATATTCTTCGCAGTATTCTCCGTATTCGCCTATTATAGATTCTTCTCTTATTTAACTAAGTATAAGAATATCGAGAATAAATATATTTATATTAATAGAATTAATAGAATTAATAGAATTAGTAGAATAATAAAAGAAGAATAATTATATAAATAGATGAAAGGATTATTATTTAATCTCGAACGCGTTTAATATAATTATAATATTTAAATATTAATTTAACTTATCTATCGCTAACTTAAGAGAAGTATATAAAGAAGAACGTACTCGTTTAAGCTCTTTTTAAGAGTCTTTTAATACGTTTATAAGTAGTAGTAGATAGCGATTACTAGTAATAGCGGATTCGTTAAAAATAATTAATTTAAGAGTATTAATAAAGGCTTTAAGAGATAAGTAAAAGAGATATATATATCTAAAATATTAAGTAATCTTTAGATAAGAGATATCGAAGACGATTATATTTATATTAATAAAATTAATAGAATTAATAAAGTAATAGAAAAATAATAGTTATATAAATAGATAAAAGAATTATTATTTAATTTTTAAACGCGTCTAATATAATTATTATAACTATTATATTTAAATATTTATTTAATCTATTAATAGTAAATTAAACTTTATAATTTTTATAACGTTAAAAAGTATAAAGCGAGCTTTATAATTTAAGAAATTATAAAGTAACTATATATATCGCAAGCTAAGTACTTTAAAGTATAAAACTTATATATATAAATTTTTAATAAGAGAGCTTAAGAGAGTTATTAGATTAACTTAGTCGATCTAATTAAAAAGCGTAGCGAATCTAAATTTATAATTAACTATATATATAAATTTAAGATTTTTAAGCTTAACTCTATCTTATCTTATTATATATACTAATATTATAATTTATTATATTAAGAGATATATCGCTATTAATTATATACTTCTTTTATAAAAATAATATTATTAATTTAATTTAATTATAGAATATTTAATAAAAAATTCTTTAAATATAAATAATATTATAATATAAAAATTATAATAATAGAAAGAATTTTTTAAAAAAAGAGAGTAGATTAGAAAAGAATAATATTAAATATTTATTATTAAATTAACTAATATTATATAATTAAAATCTTATTAAAATAAAATATTATTTAAAAATAAATTAAGTTTAAATATTAATTAGAAAGCTAATTAAAAAAAAAATTAATTTCTTTTTTATTAATATATATCGTAAAGCTATATATAAACGTTTTTTTCTATATTTTAAATATACTTTAAATATTTATAGCTATATATATATATCTTTAAAATAATCTTCTTTTATATTTTATATATTTTAATATTCTTTATATACGCGATATATTTATTAAAAATAATTTAATTAATTTAATTAATTTCTATCTAATTTTATATTTATTAATTATAAAAAAAGCTTTTTATTTAAATATTATAACTTTATAACTTTATTATCTTTAGATATTAAGCTATTTATAGCTTATAATTAATTAATTTAATTTATTTTCTTCTTCTACTATAAAGATAAAAGAAGATATTATTTCTTTTTTATCTTTATTAATATATATAAAAGAAAAAGATAGAGTAAAAATTAAAAATCTTAGATTTATATATATAATTAATTATTAATTCGAGTTCGCTACGCTCTTTAATTAGACTAACTAAGTTATTATAAGTAAATAAATTAATATTCGTAACTATTAAAATCTCGCTCTCTTATATCTTTCTTATTAAAAAAATAGATATATATTATTAATATATAGAATTACTTTTTTATTTTCTATTAAAATTTTGAGATTTTTTTTTAATTTTAAAGCGCTATTTGTACTTTTCGAACTTTTAAGAATTTCGAAATTTAGTCTTATAATTATTAAAGCGTAAGGAATTTAAATAGCGCTTATTAAAGTTCGCTTATTAAAGATCGCTTATTAAAGTAATAAAGATCGCTTATCTACTTACTCGATAGTTCTAATTAAAAAAAAAATTATAAATTTAATTTATAGACCTTTACTCGTCTATAATAAATTTATTATTAATTTTATAAAATTAAAAATATTAATTTAAAATTAAAATCTTCTAATTAAAAGTAAAGAATATAATATTTTAATAATTTAATATTTAAATAAAAGATAGTATAATATTATTTAAATAGATATTTAGAAATTATTATGATTTAAATTATATATATAGTATGGTATAAAGATGTTAATTATTCTATGTGCCTGCAGGGCAGATATGTGCGGTGCCAAGCCTACGCTAGTGGCCCTATGAGTGTCCCTGAGGCATCTCATGACAATTGCCCACAAAAAAAAGAGAAATGCCATGTCCTCATGGCAAGAAGTATGCATGCATGAATGAGTGAATTTTCGAAATGCTGGAAAGGAGTGGAGACACCAGGCCAATTAGTGCTGTGAATCTCACGAGTTCTCCTGCCGCAGTGAAGCCCTTCGAATAGTACCGGAGCAAGACATCAGACGGTTTCAATTCGTCCAAATATGCATCGTCCGATGTGACCCTTGCCTGCAGAGGTCCAATTGCCATAGCCATAGTGATTTGGCTGTGACCGTCGTAGTAGATCCTTCTCTTGAATGCTCAACTCAGTGATTGTGTGCCACAATAGTGCAGCGGAGATGATAGGCCAAATTGCAGTGATGTTCTCCTGCTGAGTGGTGGTTTGACGTGGGATCGTGGAGAGCATATAACGTGGGATCTTGGAGAGCAGGCCTGTGTTCTTGGTGCTGAAGGCCTTGCTGCCGCTTGATTTCTCCGCCGTGTTCTCCGCAGTATTCTCCGCATTTGCCTGTTGTAGTTCCTCCTCTTATAGAGTATCAGACTGAGTGGCTTGCTAAGTAGCTGACTGAGTGACCGGCTGTAGAGACCTTCTCGTATATTGCTGGCGAGTCTTCTGATTCCGGTGCTTCTTCTTCTGCTGTGTTACACGTACGAATAAACACTCCGATGATCGAGTAGCGTGGAAATCGAATAGATTATCACTATCCCAGTCACAAGGATCAAGACCGCATAGTGAGCACACCGTTAGATCCGAGGATGAAAAAGTAGGGTCGAATTCTCGATGAAAGCCAGCACGGGCTATGGTAGAGGCACTTGAATATACGTATGGCCATAACGTGAATGATGCGAGTCTCTCAGCGTATGAATTCATGATATCGATATCGATAGGCCTAGCGAAAGGATCGATGTGGACGTTGTCAAATGGTACTCGATGACTGCGAGTGGAGGTGAGGGCCGGCTTGGAGCGTCACACTATTAGGTCACCAGGTATCGACAGATTTCTCCACCCCGAGGTTTACCCGGCTACTGCACGCATTTAAAGAAATCTAAGAATCTACTACATATATTCCTTCTGAATATCACCATAAATCAGATTTAATACGTCTACCACCTGTTTCTACTAGTTAATAATATCGTCAAGATATTTTAACGATACGAGCTCGAACTTCGTATATAGAAATCCTCTTAAATTTCTTATAAATAACTTATAGTAACTTCGCCTTATTTCGACGTTATTAATAATAAACTCTAGCTTTATATATATTTTAAATATCTTCTTTCGAATTTAGATTATATAATTAGATTAAATATATAAGTATTTTAATTTAATTAACTCTACGAAGTTAATTAACTTAATCTATAAATCTAGATTTCTTCTTATAAAATCTATTACTATCTTTTATTAAAATATTTTAATTATAGAATACTTATAAGTAATAAATTCGCTTAATATAGTTTAGAAGTAGCTTATCGATATAGTAATTTTAAATTATTAAATTACTAGATTCTTTAATTTCGAGTTTATATAATAAAAATACTTTCTATTCTTTAATTTATTTTTTATATTTTAAAGAGATTTTATATTTAGAATATCTTATAAATTTATATAACTTCGAAATCTTTATAGTAAAGAGATTATTCTTATTATAATAGATAGTAATCTCTTTATAATATTAAAAGATATTCTCTAAAACGTAAATTAAGTATAATTCGAGATTTAGAAATTTTTAAAGATTCTCGATATTATAATAAGTATTTTTCTTTTATAATATACGATCTTAAGATAGTATATTTCGAGAATAGTATACCTTATCTATAAAAACGATATATTATTAAAAATCTTTCACTATTTATTCGAGATACTTCGTATTATATTTTTAATATTTTTTTAGATTTTATTTAAAAATAGATTTAATTTAGACTATTTTATATAGCTACGCGTTATTAATTCGAGCTTATAAAAATCGTTAAAGAATTTATTCGCTTATATTAATATTAAAATATTTTAATTAAATAAAAAATAATTCTCGATATACTAGATTCTTAATTAGATTAATTATTTTTCGAAGAATTTCTATAGAGATTTTAAGAGTATATCTAAGGCGATTTTTATCGATATATCTTATATTAGAAGATCTCTTAATTCTATATTTTTATAGCTAATACTTACTTATATTATAAAAAGATTTTTTCTTATTATATATATTTTAAATTAATTAATTAAGAGCTTATAAGTTAATAGTTTTAAAGAATTTAGCTTTATAGCGAGTAATAGCCTTATAATTAATTAGAGAAAAGTTATATATAAAAGTATAAGATAGATTTATAATATAATTATATAGATTTTTAAAAATATAAATATTATTTTTAATAGAGAAAGAAAGCTAATAATAATTAGATAAACCTCGAGATAGAGAAATCTATCGATATTTAATACTTTAAGTATATTCGAATATAATAATTTAGACGACGATTCTTAATAGATATCGTCTAATAAGTATTAAAGATAATCTAGATATGAAAAGAAATTTCGAAAAAGTTTATTAATAATATATGAGTCTATAATATATTTAGTTAATATTATTAGATATTAATAGATTTCTTTATCTCGAGATTTACTTAACTACTACTAGCTTTCTTTTCTTATTAAAAATAATATTTATACTTTTAAATATCTATATAATTATATTATAGATTTATCTTATACTTCTACGCGTAATTATTCTCTAATTAATTATAAGACTATTACTCGCTATAAAGTTAAATTCTTTAAAGCTATTAATTTATAAGCTTTTAATTAATTAATTTAAAATTACTAGTCGAAAAGGTATAATATATTTTATAAAATATTTTATATTAAGTAATATTATATCGTATTCGAGTATAATATAAATAGAATTAAATATTATATCATTTTTCTAATATAGATTTAAGATTTTAGCGATATATTCTACGATATAGTATATCTATAGAATTATATTATAAAATAATATATATATAAAATATATTCTTACTAAGATTTCTATATTTATAGAATAATTCGACTAAGATATATAGAATATATTTATTCTTCTTTATTAAGAGAGAGAGAATATAAAGAGTAATTTAATATAGTTATTTATCTTTTTATTAATATTAATAATTAGAATAATAATTAAAACTATAAGTATCTCTATTCTTTTTCTTAAAATTATAATATAAAAGAATATTTTAAATTTTAAATCTTTAAATATTATAAGAATAAAATTTTATAATTATCTCTATTTATATATTTATCTTAACGCGTTAAATAAGCTTAATAAATTTTATATTTATTCTTCTCTTAAATTCTAATCTTACTCTTCTATTCTACTCTATTTTAATTCTTTTAAATACTCTAAATCTATCTCTATCTAATTAAATTTATTAATTATTTATAAATAAATTCGCTTTTTAAATTATTTTAAATCTTTTTTTTTAAGATTAAATCTATTATTACTAACTCTCTCTAATTATAAACTTATTAATTATTTCTCTATATATTATAGAGTATTAATAATATATCTTAATAAATTTATAAATATTAAACTTATTAAAATACTTTTTATAAGCTTATTATTTTTATTAATATAATTATTATAAATAATAAACGTTAATTAAATTTTTATATAAAGTATTATTAGCTCTTTTAATCTAATTTAATATATTAAAATCTTCTTTAAAATTAAATCTAATCTATTTAAATTTATTTTCTTAATATTTTATATAAAAAATTATTATTAAAATATAAAATATCGCTAATAAATAATATTTTTAAATATTATAATATCTTTTAGTTATTAAGAAGTATCGCTTATATATAATAGTTCTCATAAGAAAATAAAGAATATTATAAGCTATTCGAGTAATTATAATATATTTAAACTTTAATTTTTTTTATTATTTTAAAATTAAAAGATTCGCTAAATTATTAAAAAAAGTTTTATAAAGATTAAAAGTAAGATTATAATTAAAATAATAATTAAAAGACTTATTATTTCTTCTATATTACTAAAGCTAATTATATTTATTCTTATTATTTAAATTTCTTAATCTTAGATTTTATTATTTAATTAAATATATTTTTATTTAATTAATTTATTCGTTTAACTCTTTATAATTAATTACTTATATTAATATTTTAATAATTTTAAAATATCTTTTTAAACGTTTTTTAATAGATCTTTATTTATAGCTTTTTTTTAATATTAATCTTTTAATTTAATTTTTTTAATTTTATATTATTATAATTTAAATATAAAAGTATAATTTATTTATATAGATAGTTTAAATCTAATTAAGTTTAATTATAATAAATAATTAATTTTTTATAAATTATTTTAAAAGCTTTAAAAAGTTCTTTTTTCTAAAAAACTCTCTTTCTTTTTAATTTTTCTAAATTTTTATTTATATAATTAAATAAATAATTATAAATATTAAAGATATAATAAATTATAATCTTCTTTTCTTTATTTATTAATTTTATAAATTTATAAAAAGATCTAATAAACTAAATTAAATATTAAATTTATTAGAAATTAATTAAAAATTATTTAAACGTCTTAAATTATAATTTTTATTTATAATTATTTTTTATTATTTAATTTTAAATAAGATAATTAATCTATTTTTTAAAAAGTATATAATATTAATATAAAGAAGTAAAGCGCGAATTAATATCTAATAAATTAAATTTTAATAAATCTTAATATTCTAAAAGAGCTTAAAAGAATATTTCTAATAATATTACTTTTTTTAGAAGATTAATATTTATCTAATATTAAAATATTTTTATTTTAAAATTATTTAATTTATAATATAAAAAAATCTCTTTATATTAGTCGCTAATATTAATATATATAATAATTTTTTAAATTTTAATATAATTAATAATATAATAATTAGAATAATAATAAGAAATATTATATTTTTATTAGAGTTATTAATAAATTAATTATATTTATTTAAATTTAATTTTTATCTTCTTTATTATTTCTAGCTTCTCTAAAAAATTTTATTTATTAAAATAATTTTAATATTATTTAGAAGTTTTTTTTAAAATTAATTAAATAATATATATTATATAAAAAATATATTATAAATAATTTAAAAACTTAAATTCTCTAATATTAAGTAAATTATTTATTATAAAAATAAAAAGATAAATAATTAAATTATTAAAGAGTATATTATTATTATTAACGTTATTAATTATAAATTTAAATATATAAATTTAAATCTTATATTTTATAAAAATTAAATTAATAATACTTATAAGTTTTTAATTAATATATTTATCTTTAATATATTTAAAATTTATAAGAATCTTATATTATTATTAATTAATATTAATAAAAAAAATTAGAATTATTATAAATAATTAATAAT